GGGCCAAACGCCTCGTGCAACCTATACTTGGTTTCAATGATTAATAATCAATCGCCCAAACTTCAGGGGGCAGTCCGGGCCTGGGGCGGTTGTGGTGGTTTTGGGAGTGCTGGAGTCCCGGGGCCGGGGCTGGGTCCCGGGGGTCGGTAGCGGGTCGTGACAGTATTCTCTTCAAGTAGTCTATCTGAATCATGTAGAACTTGCACACTTTTTACTGAGTTGTTCAAGTTGCTGCATAATTGCTCTCTCGTGAAAACAAAGAGGTGATAACCTCAGTGATTGGCAAAGCACTAAGTATTATATTATGTATCTACCTGTGAAAACAAAGAGGTGATACTGGTAACATAAGTAACTGTAAATGAAATAAAGAATGTAGGGACTTACACCTCAGTGATTGGCAAAGCACTGAGGTGTACGGCAATGTGCAGAGAAAAATAAAACATATGGCAATTACATAATACTGTGGGTGCGTATCCTCAACACTCTCCTCCAGAGGTTCATGTGGGCAGAGATGATGTCATTATCTTGAGTGGTTGGACTGGAATAAGCAAAATGAGAAAGGGGGTCCACAAACTGATAAATCCCTTGACAGACTGAGTATGGAGAGATGTACCTAAGTTCTGCTTCTACTCAGTCCTCTCTAAGTACTATGCTTACATGATTGAGCATGATTTCAGGCCTTTGGAGTCTTTATAGAAGGAAGTCATGAGAGGAAAGAGATGTATTTCAACATGTGACACAAGGTGTAACAACTTTTATCTTGTCCGTGAACACTGAAGCAGAATGATTGGACATTTTGGTGATATTGCTGAAATCTAGTCACACATCCTCCCTCACCTATATTACATAGAAAATAGTCATAACACATTCACAGGTGGGTATGAGTCAAAATTTTCACAAATTACATGTTTCATGGATTTGTAGAAAAGGTTCCTCAGGGCATGGATACTCCCAACCCATCTCAAGCATGCATGTAGTGTGAAATTTGTAATAGAGTTAATGCACTGGTATAGGTTAATTAAGTATGGTCACAACAGAGCAACGAAGATGAAATCATTGGTCTTATGAAAAAATCATTCTAACACAATTAAGCTATTTCCAGCTTCTCAACCAATGATGTGTTTTGTATCATGTGTTGTTCCAACATCATGTGTGAAGAATCTATGTCCAGCATATTCAGGCCTAAATTTTGGACAAACATATAGGGAAGCCTCCAGGGGCCTCATGGACTTCTTGATGTTTGAATTGGTAGGGCTCGGGTACACTACCTGTGATATTCGAATGAAAAGAATATATTCCCTCTTAGCTCAGCGGTAGAGCGCTTCACTAGTATAAGCTTGTTAATGAAGAGGTCAGTCGTTCAAGTCGGCTAGAGGGAAACCTTTTGGCAAAAAAATTGTTACATAAACCCTCACTTAAGGAAGACGTTTTCACTGTTAGAACTTGACACTATCCTGCATCATCGCTTGGTGTTATTGTTGGCAAGTGTTCCCAGAAAATTGACATACAAGTCAGCCTCACCGAGAAAGAGTTATAGCGATATAGGCAGCTCTGACAATAGATGTTTCCAAAATAAATTATACATCACATTCTCTGAAAGAAAAAGACGATAGCATCAAGAAACGAGTCCAGCCCGTGGTATCAAATAGTCATGATATACAAATCCCATCGGTCTTTCAGAGCCTAACCGTACCCGTCCTATGAAGGGAACTCGGATGGATCCTGTGCACAAGCATCCTCGCAGCCACGCCACTCCAGCCACTCAGCACAATGATACGCGACTGTGCGTTTAGGACACTGCTCCAGTTCTTTCACTACATTATCTCCTCCGCGGATCACGCCGAAGTAGCTGTTCCCAACTCGTACTACGCGCACCATGGGGAAACCGTGTCCCACTATCGCTGAAACGTTGCGCAGGGGCAACAGGTCAGGCAGGCCGATGTATCGCAGCGTTGGCGGGATGCCAGGACGAAGTTGCTGTACAAATGTTTTGTGTCAGCTCACTGGGTCAAAATCATGATAAAGTTATCTACCTCGAGGAACGGGACAGGGTCCCTGGATGAAGAGGGGATATGTTCTAATGTCAGTGACAATGCCAGCACACTCCTTGGAATCAACCACGACGCCAGGCCGGGCGATAGATCCGGAGGATAAGCTATCTTCAAATTCCGAAGGTTGACCAATGATGGCAGGACACCCCACACAGCAGCATCGAACCCCACCGCACGCTGCACGCTCTCGTCATGAGCAGTGAGTGTGAGTGACCGAAGCTGGTTGCGGCCTCTCAAGAAATCCGCAATGGCTGGGAAGAGGTCGCGGTCGCAGACACGGCGGTGTACACCCGTGACCGAGAATGAAAAGTGTCGGAGGAAGGGCAGGACAGGTCCGTATGCGCGATGGGTGGCACGGAATTGCTGTGACGTGGCACCTTCAAGGGAACAGCAGAGCGAGAGGGATTCCATTTGACGGCCATTGGCGAGAATGTCGGCAAAGATTTGATTGTTGAGGGGGACGTAGCCTGTGAAGTGAAAGTGTGTCAGGTTGCGGAAGGAGACGCTATTGGTGGAGAAGACCCAGTGGGGGTTGTCGATGTAGACGATGCGCAGGAAGTCACGGTTCTGAGCGAGGAAGGAGTGGACTTGATTAGCCGTTCCGCCCGAGGTGCAATACGAGAAGTGGGCGAGATGTTTGAACTCGAACTGAAGATCCGTCGGACCATCTGGTGAACTATTGTTCGTTTGGGATGAGAATCTACGCAGAAGTGGTTATGTAAAGCATCACATACTGAATCGAAAGACCTCGTAGACGGGGCGTACATGTCTGTAGGACACGCAGGACGGGTATGATACCTTCTACGCCCGCGGAAATATGCACGTTGCGAAGGTTGATCAGATTCGGGAGTGCATTAGTCAACATGCCTGGAGCGGAGCGAATTAAGAGTCACTCCAGGATACAATCTGGAGGAACAAAAAAATCCACCTATCTGAAAAGCTAATGCCCCATCCCGGTCGCGCAAGGGAGCGTATATTCGCAAAGTCCGAACAGCACTCGCAAACTTGAGGTCCACGATAATGCGTGTTAGAATGTCTGCACTCCGTTGAGCATGTCGTGCATCGTCAGCAAACCCAGCCTCTCCCGCGTGATGGATCCAAAGATCCTCCTCAGCATCGATTCCTCCAAAATGTAAATCAAGCTTCCGGAAGAGAAGCTGACTAGCAACTCGGGATATGGTATGGGGTATAAAGAGTAAAGCTTTAAGATCATGTCGAGGTAGATAGAGTGCGATTTCGTGCCATATTTCGATAGAGAAACGTTCTTTCTTCGCAGGTAGTGGTGATAGAAGCTAGGAGAACTCTTGTTAATCACGTCCACACTATAAGAAGCTCGACAAACTTCAGGCAACAGACCTTTTCGACCGTCACTGATCGTTGATGCAGCAATGCCTTTGCTTCGGGGTTGTCAGGTTCTGCAACTAATGCTGCTTGGAGATCTTGAGACATGACAGACCGTTGCAATCAGTCAAGTTGGAAGTGTTTTGGAATGACGGCATACCATCCTGTGCCCCAAAATGATATCCGGCCGTAAGTCTAGCCCGGGCCCGCAGAATTCGAGCCTTCGCTGTATTTTCAGGGGAAAGATTGGAAATCAGCAGACATGACTGGACTGCGTTTTCAATGATGGTTCTAGAACGCCTGTTGATTTTGTGTGGATATGATTGGTCGGGGGTGGGTCAGTGAACGCCTCCGATGCCATAAAGATCAGGCACTTACCCCTCCAAGTGCAGGCTTCGCATCGCGTAGAGGAGGAGGTCAGCCTTTTGGTTATCGGTCAAGCATGAAGCGACGTCGCGGATGCTGGCATCGAGGATTTTGGGATTGAATAGGTCCATGGTCGAAGGGGGATCAATCAGCCTGAGTAGATGCTGCGCACTGCACCTATTAAATTCACTTGAGAATGTTCTATCTTGGGAGGGCCGCGGCAATGCCCCGTTTCTTCCTGCCTCCACTGACTGGTGGGGTACTCCGTTGAAGGTGGCGAAGTGTTTTGTGGGAATCTACGTGGTCTGGATGCAGTCCAGGCTGCATTCTTACATCTTCCATTTGCCGAAAGCACATGTCTTCAACTTGAACCTTGACAATAAATCAATGATACCAAGAGCTGTTCCCATTGTCAACGTGACGAGCATGATAATAAGAACCAGGAAAGGAACAGGCTGCTTGACATAGCCTAACGATTAACGAGCGCTGAACTCTCACATGTCAGGTGCCTCAGCTACAATTCGGAAAAAGTTATGCCAGTGATACAATTGGCTTTGAGTTCACCAAGTGCATGTTAAAAAGCCTTGGTTTCTATATAAATCAGGGTTTTTCAGAATTTGACGATCGGTCATGAATTTGGCCGTATTGTTCATTAGAATATTTTAAACTCTTCAGGGGGTTATTATCAAGGAAAGCTGACCAGCAGTAGTCAATTAAATGTGGCAAAAGTACTGAAGCTTGAAGAAATCTCAAATATCCCACATGAGCATTCACGAAATAAACTAGGGAACCTCGGAAATGTTGTCATTGAGCAATGATAGGGTTGTTGAGCTAGCTACTTTGCGACTCAATTAGCCTCATGCCCCCCGGCAATATATCGCCCTAATGCGCTATCAATTCAGGATGTCATTGGCTGTCATGCCGTTGAAGTCAGCGTCGGCTGTGTATTAATCTTTGGGTGCACCACTGCCCCTGACTGCCATACTTCATTGCTTAGTTTCATTCGACATTGCGTTCCAAAGCTTCAAGTTTGTCCAACACTGGGGCGTTGTGTCATTAAAGAGAGGTTCTAGGTGCAGCTGACAAGTCATCAATAAGAAGAGTCCATTTGAAAGACTTCTTAACCAGATTCGTACAGGGGTAATACACGTGCACTCCAGTCACATCTTATGTAACGACCCTTTTCTTTATCGAGCTCGCCCGCTTGCGTCCGTACACGCCGGCGAGCTCTCCTTGTTTCAGCGTCTAGGAAAGATTCTCAGTGTTTCTTTGTATACTTCATTGACCCCAGTCACGTCTGTGCTTCCTCTTGGATATTCCTCCAGTCTTCGAGGATCTACAAGCAGTATTTCGCCATGCGTATCTTCAAGAGGCTTTCTGCAGCGTGTTTAGCACTAGGCTGTATGACACCGGGTAGCTCAGGTACGTAGCACCGTCTCAAGTGTAGTCTATCCACCTATAAAAATGGTTGACTATGTTGAATCCATAGCGTATTTTGTCATAACTGAGCCCACGCTCGATACACAATGGGCACTGAGCACCCCAAATCGCATATCATGGACAAAAGGTGTACTAGACGATATCGCTAGTTTTGATATAGAAATTGCCCGGCTAGACTCCAACGGACTCATTTTCGTAGCGCGAAATGGTGCGTGAACGACCGCCATTATCGTCGAAGGTTGAATTAACGAAGTTCAATCCAGTCCCTGCTACCGACTCGTCTTTGAACATACTGCTACAAGACATTCCACTAGGCGATGACTACTTCTTACTGTTCATGAACTCGACGCATGGCGTCATGTATGCTACGTCGCTTCGCTTTAGCGTCGTTCCTGCCTCTTCGACCGGTAGTAAGCCATCGACTGCATCTCATGTGCAGACAGTCACAGTCAGTGGGTCCCCAAACCCCACTCAGCAATTTGCTGTGACATTCCCTGCAATCAGGAATAGAGGATTTGATAGTTGGGGAGATGTACGCCAGGCCTGGAGCTTGGGAAGTATGCTTGTATGTTGTGTGGTAGGTGCTGTATGGACGCTGTGGTAATGTGCATTTTTTCTCTGGATCATACTACTAGGGCTACTCTGGGACGTTTCCCTTGATCTTCTGTATACATACGAAGCCTTCACCTCATAGAATACGATACTCATTTGTGCACAAGGACACACACACACATGACACATCTACCTATCATTGGACATCTTGTTATGTTAGACTACTTTTAATGTACGCTCTTTTCGTGTATGTATGTTTTTAGGGGGATCTGGACCTTACGGTGATGAATTGACATGGAGTAGCTTTGTTTTGACCCACAGACGATCTGCCTTATTTGTTCCCATCAAATCAACCTCTAACTTGGCCTTGCGATGATAGTATTGTTAAAGTGGTCATGACAATTTCTCACATCTATGACATATCCTCACAACCATATTGAGTGCATTTGATGTGCAAGATATCAGGAGACAGTCTGAAGTGGAAGTACATATCTCAAATAAAATGACATTATCGTCAGGAACCGAAGAAGGCTGACATCTGCCAGTAGCACCTTTAAAGGCAACATATTATATGTTTTCCTTCACAAATAGAGGTTTACAACGTGCCGTCTGAACCATAGTCTTTCATC